TATATATATACTGTATATATATATATACGGATGGTCTCTGTGCCTTTGTATTTACAGTAAGACTTGGAAATATTCCTTCCTTTCTCCTAATGACAGACACTCTGAGACAGCTGCATGCACATGTACTCACACAGGTACACACACACAAACACACACCCTGACAGGTGCTGCATTGTTATGGCATGTCCAACTCTGGCAGCTTGTTTTTCCTCAGACCTCTCACCCTGTTTGATGACTCAGAGACGGGGGAGATGAAAGGAGAGGCAGGGACAAGGGGGAGTATAAGAAGTGCACTCTGACAGGAGGAGCGGATGGAGGGGCCTGAGATAATTCGAGCAGAAAAGAAGGTTAAGTAAATCATATCATTAATGCTATGTTAAGAGATTGCTTTGACCTCTGTTCGGCTGTCTGCATATGCAAGAGTGCGTGTATGTGTCTGGCCTTTGTCCCACTAAAGCAGGTGGCAGCAATGACGTCCGTCTTCTTCCCAGCAGCGTGCATACACACACACACACACACTCACACACACACACACACAAACAAACTCACACACTTTCTCCCTGCCGCTCCGTGCTCTCTGGTGTCAGTCCCACTAGATTCTATCGTGCTTGAAATTCACTCATCATATCGGGTGGCCTCACTGTGCCGCTTGCTGACACGAGTGCGTACACGCATGCAAAGACACCCACACACGTACGCACGCATGAAGGAACACAGCGCGGTCTGGACTGACTTGATTATACAAGCAGAGCCGCTCAACCTGACAGAGGAACAAGCACCAAAAAGGAAACACAAAAATAATATAAAAGGCTTATTTGCCCGTGTTGTATAAGCATGTTTCATCTTCCCACTCTCGCCTATACCCTCACCCACACAGGTTAGATCCAATAGCTAGTGCCAGGCCTCTATATCCTGCAACACAAACATCCCTGTGTGAAGGAATATTGCAGTCGAGTTCTTTTTCATAATCCCTTCCCTCCACACCCACACATGCACATACTGAGGGGGTGAGTGGGAGACGGGGGTAAAAGGGAGAGCTGGTAAAGGAAAATGAAAAGAGAAGAGGTGAGGGGAGGGAGGGAGGAAGAGAGAGCGAGAGAGTGAGAGAGAAGTGCTCATGAGAGCCAGGAGGTAGTTGTTATAGTAACTGAGTCTCTATACCTGTCAATCAGAGCTATTTCAGGCATCTCGCTTCTATGGAGGAAAGAAAAGCCTCACATACCAGGCACATACCAGGGCCAGAGAGCTGTTCCGTTGAGCCAAAATTATCAGCCAACGCACATGCACGGATGCTGGCAACTTGTAAGCTGAAAGACGGATCAAATTAACACCATAAATGAGATTTCAGCACTATGTCATTCCTAGTTAAAAAAAAAAAAAAAAAATTCTCACATTTTTTACTTCACAGTGCACTTTAAGGAAGAAAAAAAGCAGAAAGACAGCCAGAGCATCTGCACACTTTTCTGCACCAAAGGAGGATTAAACGATCGTTGTTTTCACTTATAAACATAGTATAATACATTTCAAACAGGTGCTTCCCAAGCTTTTTGTCTGCCTGGTCAGCTCTGTCCGATGAAATAAAGTACCCGCTCATTGACATTACCCGTCATGTTTCTCATTTGTTTGTTTCAGTTGATTTTAGAACTGCCATTAAGTAGGTTGGTATGCATTTTTTGTCATAGCTACTCAATACTACTTAACTCAACTCACTCGAATAGAAAATCTAAATCAATCAGGACTGAAATCTTAAGGATTGCCATTTTTAATTATTAGAAAATTGATCCATACTAGCAGCTTAGGTTAACCATGCCAACCATTTATCTTTACCTACTGCTTTAAAATGTGAAATATCTGAACCGTTTATACATTAAAATTACTTTGAGCGAGAGATAACTATCGCAACCATTTATCCGTACTTTGAGCTAACGTTAACAATTCCAGCTGTTTAGCCAACACTTATGACTGTAATTTATTACAACTATTTAACATGACCCATTGCTTTTGAATACATATCTCAATGGTTTATTCATTATCATAGCTAGTTAACTAGTTAACTAACTAATTAGCTAACTATTTCAAACATGTATCCATTACTTTTAAATGGATAACGTTAGTTGAATGGATTCTCTATTTTTAGTTACGTTAGCTATTTTAAACATGCATACTTTTCTTTTAGCAGACTATTAAAACCATTTATCTTGAAAAGTTATATGAACGGATTATTCGTTTGTTTTTAGTTAACGTTAGTTATTTGCCCATTTGTCCTTACTTTTAGCTAACGCTAACTGTTCAGAGCTCCTAGCCAACCAATGCTAGTTTCCAAACACAATTGCAACACCTTTTTGCAACGGTAAGTGTAAGGTATTTGAAACATAATTTATACATAATATGTTTAAACATTTAAACATAATATTTGCACCCTCGGTAGCGTTAATCTCACCAGTGAATCACTGTATTTGAGAATATGCTTCCTTAATAGAGTGCTTCTGTGTAATCATCAACATCATAGCCAAAGAAAACCATAAATTCAGCTCTATAACCGACAAACACATGGTGAGGAGGAGAGAACAGCGATGAGAGAGTGGGGGAGTAAGAATAGTGTGCCGAGTTTGGGAGCCATTAGGCAGAAGGTAATTAATACCTGTCACCGTAGTGCTCTGTTCGCTGCCTTTATTCTGTTTCAGACCAATTAAAATATGACACTCTTGTGGAGAGCGTCTTGTTAAAATTAAGCGCCTGAGACGCAGAGACACCTTTGATAAACACATCCAGAGCTACAATTGGCTTTGGCAGCAACGGCATGCTGTATGGATAGATAAAGAGGAACACGGCTGTGTGTACGTGTTGTTGTCACCTCCAGTAGGAGATGTGAACTGTTAGATCTGATTAAAAGTGCGTCTCCTTCCTTGTGAGTTTCACTCTCAAACACACTGGAGAATGACGTCGTGATGTTATGAGACGTTTATGAGCCGAGAGATACTGACCAGGGAAGACAAGTCACTGCCAACCATTTGGGGCTTGGACTGCAAAGGACAGACGAATGGTAAGCAGAAACGAGCCAGGGGAGAGGGGGAATAAATGGAGAGAGCAGCTGAGGGTATAAAAAAAAAAAACAGGTGGTATACAGAAAAAGGCTTCGAAGCAAAGGAACATCTAATGAAGAGAGTCTGATAGGAAGGAAAACAAAGGATGGGAGAGAGCGCTGAGAGAACAGGGAAGTGAAATATGGTGGGTTTCTTTTTGAGCAGGAACTCGAGGAGAGATTAGATGGAAAGAATAGAGGGGAAAATGGAGAGAGGTGGAGTGATGGATGCAGGCAGGGGACCAGCAGCTCTCTGCCAACATGTCCATGCATCCTTCCAGACATCACACTGCGTTGCCATCTGCCCCACACACACACACACACCCACACACACACACACACACACACACACACACACACACACGAGATATGTGAAAGCATTAGCGTCTCCCGACACTGAATAAATATCGGGATGAAATCTGTCTATGGAGAAAATCACCTGCGGGGAAATATATATGATTGGATGAGATCACGACCTCACTGGAACGTAATTTGCATGTCATCTAAATGGGATCTGATCCCAATGCTCGGGAGGTCAAAAGGCGTCCGATTCGTGGGATGGCGCAACTCACTGCCCAATTGGCTGAAAAGGGAGAGACAATGGCAGGTGAATGGTAGCTCAGCTGCTGCTCCCTCTGTGAGCGACAGGACTGCCCTCTTCTGGCTGCTTTTACAAATCTCCACAGTTAAGACATCCGACGTGTGAAGACAGACACTGTAAAGGCAGGTGATGTGTTTTTTTTTTTTAATCACATTAGAGCTGAGGAATAAAAATAAACAAAGAGCATGAGAGTGCAGCACACAGAGTGTTTATCGGTTAACCACAGAGTCTTATTTATACATATATTTATATAATAGAGCCATTTCTCCCATGTGTATAGCGTCTGATTGTAACACAGAAATATACCAACAATCCCTGGGTGAGAGAGAAAAGAGCAAAAGAAAGAAAAAAAAAAGAGAGCAGAACTCTCAACAGTCATCATCTACATTAGAAAACCTACAGGCCATTCGTTTTTATAGGTTTATACATCAGCGAGGCATCAGTATTCATTACAAAAATAGGAATATAGTTGATATAGAATCCCTGGGGGTTGATTGAGTAAGTTGGGGGGGGGGGGGGGTGAGGATGTGGTGTGCCCTCCCATCAGTGGCATGACTAGCAATGACCACCCATCCGCCCACCCATCACATACACCCAAACCAGGAAACGAAGAGCCATACTCGGATTCTGTGCGCCTCCATGCTTGTTGTACAGCAGACAATGGAAACCAGTTCGGGATTAAATTAAACAAATCAATGAAAACCATTCGAAAATGAGTACGTTT